ATCCTTTGCTGAAATGTCTGACGATTTTGAGCACCTTGTGAATATGCATTCCGCGGGGTTGCGTGAGCTGGCTGGTCAAAGTTTTTCGGATTTCCCCCGACGGACTTTTGACAAATCAACCACTTAGCCAGGTGATATCTTTGTGGACATAACACAAGTCTTTTTCGTCCCTATTCTGTTCTGACATATTTGAGCCCATGAATGACGCTCCATTTCACGGCAACAAACGCCTTCAGTAATTTCAGTAGTTGGTAGAATATTAAAAACGGCCTGCTATTGGTACATAGGTATTCCCTGGAAGTTCAGAGTTCACTCCAAGTCGACTACCTAATTGGGTATCAGAAATCCCAAGCGTGCCCATTTTGCGATCAGATCTTTGGTAACCAAAAGGATATCTAGGCTCTTAGCTTATTAAACCAGGGTATTCAAGGCATCAGAAAATTCACCTTTGGTGGTGTCTGAGCTAAGTCGATTACTGGGGAATGAAGCAGGACAAGCAGACAGCGGCCGGCTTCTCGCTTGTGAGTCTACTTTGTGGACGTTGCCCGATGAACGGTACAACGAGTTTCCAGTTCGGCAAGGATCTTTCTGCCCGTTTCCGACCGGGCAGGACCAATCCTGCCACAGCGGCCCCTGGAACTCCGAAATGTTTGCAGCCGTGGGCTAGTTGAGAGTGATGGGGCAGTTAAATCCGACGCATTGCATTCAACTTGAACCGTTGTTTTCGATACCGAGGATACATCAACGTCAAACGAGTTCAATGTGAGGGCAAGAGCCCTCTCTCTCTCTCTCGGAACCAAATTTCTGAATATTTATGGTTCTGGATCCAAGAACAACTATTCAGTGACAAGCTCTGTCAGGCAATAATTATCAAATGTTCCAAGTACTCATTTGCCGAGGCCATCTCCGTCAAACTCATCAATTCGAATAACAGGACCAGTTTACATGAGAGCAACCCTAACAAAACAGTATCAGACTGGGGGTTTGTAATGCTTAAATTATACGGCGTAATCTAGCATAAGTATGTTGTGGGCTGATCATTATTTGTTCCTAATACTCTGAGTTCCTATTGTAATGCGTGGAATAACAGTAGGCGATATTTAAACGGCAGATGGGTGGAAAATACTAAGGTTACGCCCCGAAACACAACTTGAAGCGCATACGTGTTTTTTGCAATTGTTTGTACATTCTCTTGCAGTTACCATAGCGATTCCGTCTGTCAAAAAGCCGCTGTTACTAAAAAAGTGGAACACATTTCTTCCGAATGAGCGTGTATCATTTTGTTGTTAACTTCATTAAACCCGCCATACAGTTTGTTGCAAAACAATTCTGTCACGTCAGATGTGCCAACAACTTCATTTAATGACCCAGTTGTCCCACAATTTTATGATGTCCATCAGTCTAACCACCATAGGTATGTTAAGGCTGGCTTGAAATTAAGCTTCTAGCCCATTTGTCAAAACTTCTACTAGGACAAAAGGTGGTAGTTGGCTTGTTCGCTGAGCTGGGCAATCTGATTGCAAACGTTTCATCATCAATAGGTATTCTGTTTAAATGACCTTTCCCCAGCAGCTTGCAGTAAACCTCGCAGATTGGCTGAATGTTGACGTGTTTTGAGCATACGCCAACAGCAGCTGAACATGCTTTTTTGTCGACAGAAAACGTTTGTTTCGTCCTGCAACTATTGAAACAATCTGCAGATTTTTGGTCAGAGTTTTAGTGATGATACCAAATTCAATAAACCAAGAGGGAATATGGAAATTATTTCAGTTCATTTGTTTAATATAAAAACTTTGTGATGATATTTTTCAAACTACGATCAGCGGAGTTCAACAGATTGGATCAAAACGCCTTACATGTTTGGTAAAACAGTTGGGGCTTGTGTTCATACATTTCACCTACTAATCCTGAATAGCTGTGGGAAATTTATGCAAACTTCTCATCGTGCAGTCCTCATAGAATATGTTGTGTTTCAGCGGCCCGCCTAGTAGACCGTTGCACGTTCAGTTAATCGCAGTGAGGGATTGTCAACGTTATTCCGACATACGATCAAAAGGTGCCAGACGAATTCCAACCAAGACTCCACTAGTAAATTTGCATGCTCAATCAAAACGAACAAAACCTGTTGCTGTCAGCAGCTTTATAATCACTGCTGAGTAAAATACATCGATATCTGCAGTCAAAACATGAGGTGTCCTTTGTTCAGTATATTCACCTGAATACTGCTATGAGCCGCAGATTGAACTGGGTCAGAATTCGGCGTAACACGAAACTAGTCTGCTAGCTGTTGTCTTACCACCGTTACGTACAAATTTAGGTTCAGTTGAAAGTTGATAAGAGTGGAAGATCGGGAAGGTGCCTGCTTGTTGGGATTTAAGATGGGAGGCTGCCAACTTATTTCCTCAGTCTCATAAATGGTGCCCTATCGTGGATAACAATTTTTGTTTGTGAAAACAAAGCCCGTTACATTTATAGGTCTTAAACTTCCCAAGATAATTTTTGTGAACGATGCACGACAGGATGCAATCTTACTCCGAACCATCGAGTTCTCATAGTAGATGGCACAAACTTCTCTCGTTTTGAAGCAATATTACATGGAAAGTCCTGATCGTTGACTACACAAATTACCGTATTTACATTGTTGGTTACGAACACCAAAGAGGACGCAAACTAAGCAATCGATGACCCATGTTTGATTCCTTGAGCACTTTAAAAGACTCTGGTTTTCAAAAGGATTTGCTATCTTTGTGGAAAAACAAATCTCAGAGATAACTAGAACACCTGTTGTGATGTTTGAGATGAATCTGCTGTAATACGGGAGACGATGACCTGATTCATGATAAGGTGTGCCAACCCTTTTGCCAATAACACCTAACCCAGTGCTCCGTGCATTAATGTTGATAAACTGACTTAACAACAAAGCATCCTTCAAATTAAAGACAACTTAATAGCGTTATCGGTTGTCTAGGGAATTTCACGCTGCCTCGGCTCGCTAGCGGACTAGACAGTGTGATTGGAACTGGCCAGTTCTCAGCTCGCTCACTGAAAACAACTTACAGCCGTCGGTCTGCAGCGATAAACAAGTTGCGAACGCACTGTCGCACATAATGTCGCACGCAACCGGTGAACGGCCTTCGTTCGATCAGAGGGCGCGCATTTTGCAAAACCTGTTTGTTCCAACTCATCAGAACCATGAGCATGGCATAAGGGGTTTGCAGGAAACTCATCTCCTTGGTAGTGTTTTGGTTTGTTCCACAATTCACTGTGCACAAAAGGCGGTTGCGGAAGTTAGAACAGCTGCTGTATCAAATAAACAATAGGATTTGGTTTTCGTTCCTTACATAGTTGTTAGCCTCAAGCGATCAGAAAGTTATTCCCAACCTTAACAACAACAAGACAAGTATGAAAATCGTACATGCACAAATGTCTGGGTTTTTGACTCCTTTGTAGCCGAACTGATGATACTGCGTGAAGGATAACGTCGGCTGTGGTTATTTGGGACAGCTATTCCACGGTGAGTTATATTTATGGTATTCTGTAAACTCCGAAGGAAAACGCTTTTCCGACATAGCAAATGACACCATGTTTCACATGCATGTTTGGACAACCGAGAATAGCTTTCTGTTTGTTTTTGCGCATCTATCTCTACGCTGATCTCGAAGAAATGTGGTCGGTTTTCCCACGTGTTGTTGTTGGTCCTAGAACAAACGGCGAAAGATGAAACTACGGAATAAAGGCATGCGTCTGTCGTTTCACATCTTGTTATCGTAAGGCTTGTTGCATTTTTGTTGCGATGAATGATGTATACAATGTCGTATTTCTTCGGTGTGTCCAAGTCTTGATTGATTTCACTGACAAGAGGTCAATGGTATTAGATTTCTCCGTAGAAATATTTTGAGGACTCCATATCCACACACCCCAATTCTGACTTGTTTCTACTTCCCCAATCTGTTTTGTCAAAAATGAGACAGGTGGGATTTTAAATAAATTCGCTGAGGTATTTCCAATTCTTAAACCGCAGAGTTGCAAGGATAATCAACATCTAGTGCTTCAGTGGGCTATACAGCCCAAACCTCATCCCTGAATTTACTACTACACCAGAAATACGGTGAACAGCAGTCAGACAGAACAGATTAAGTCAGATTGTACGAAGAACTTCAATATGTGCGGACGATAAAGGCAAACCAACACCTCTGATCATGAATGAGGTGAAGCTGCCCCCTATTAAGTAACGGTGGACTGGAAAATTTCATCAGCTGGTATTTCGGACCGACTGGGTTAAAGGGTACACTTGATTCACCTCTTGCGGATTCCGTACATTTTGGGTTCAAATAGAACATATGGTTGACGGAACCTCGAGGGCTACCTCCGTGGGTTCAAATAGAACATATGGTTGACGGATCCTCGAGGGCTACCTCTGACCTATCTGATGAGCCTCAAAAAGGGCGAAATAGATCATGGGCTGAGGAAAATTCCTAGGCAGTTATGTGAGCAGTTTTATTCAAGCGTATGAAAATGTTAATCTCCGTGGCTTATCCAACAGAGGATACATGGTTAAATTGGGACTTGTGTTTACTTATGTAGATCGTTTGGTGCAGTGGGTGATTCAAGGATGGCATTTACTGTCAGACGGCCAAACACCTGCCCCATCGACCAGCCAGTTCTTGCATACGTTGTCGCATCCAGTCAAGCCACCCACAATAGCGTCAACCATACACCCTTACACATTCACAGGCTGTCGTGCCAGTCTGGCACACACCCACGCAATATTTTGGTCAGAATCCCCTTTCCTGGGCACAACCGATTGCAAACGTGCCTAGCACACGCACACTCCAGTTCCTGCTATTCGCCATATGCATGCAACCGCAACAGTGGCGCAGTTCGCATCGATGCGTTCAATAAGTGACCCACAGACAGGCGTGAAAGCCCCAACAGACCAGGCATACGTAGTGCTAGCTTAAAGCGCGTGTGCACGCACAAAACACGCGAACGGACTATCCTGGTGGTCGAACAGTCGGAACGGAGACAAATTAGGACAGCCAACACATAAAGTGCTGCGTGGGCCCTCTACCGATCATTACCCGAAATCAAGTCCAAGTTTCATACCTCATTGCACCGTTCTAGCTGGTTCGAATTCTCCCGTTTCGGTCTCGCGAGAAAGTAGAATGTCTGCTGTGACAATTTCGTCGGCACCATTCAGTAGCGATGCAGAAGCCCTGATTGCTGCTCCTCGAATACTCAGTTCCATTGAAGGACTCACGGAAGTGCCTGAAGGAGAACCGGTCCATTTGGAATTACGGGTTTCACCTCCGGGCGATCTCCAGGTTCAGTGGTACAAAGATGGACATTCTCTCAGTGCAGGTGAGTTCAACCAGCTGTCTCGCTGACTTGAATGAACATTCAGCCAAGTAACTTCGTAATATAACATCTTACTGGTCTCCTAAACACGCAGGACTATGGTGAATGTGATAGTACAAGCAGAATAAGCATCTAACGCACTCATACTAAAGTGTTTGCGCAAGCGATATAAGAATATAGGTGTAGATCGCACCGAGGTCAGTACTTGAGAAAAAACGAGTGCAAATACTATAGGAGCCATGTTCTCAAATTCAATCAGAAAAACACCTCTAGAATAGTTACAAAAAGCAGCATGAGACGCACTCAACCCCCATAAATATTCCTACTCAGAATGGTCACGATTGCTGACCGGAAAATCAGGGATCTTCAGCTCCCCACGAGTGTTTTCCATCGGAATTTGCTCTGGACCAGAAGGACACGGTGAAAATACGTCATTGGCTAGGATAATCCAAGCTTATCCATGCATATTGAACTTGGAATCAAAAAGTAGCAACTGCTGATAGGCCAGTGAACATCGTGCCCCCTTGAGGATTGGAACGTCGTATAAGAAAACATCCAACGCTGTTTTACAGATCACTAGACATTCCGCTCAGTAACTAGCATGCCAATGTTCTAAAATAATTCGTGAGGCAAGCCGTTACACACGTCCTCAAACGAATCAATGAGTTCCACTTAAGCGCCTACTGTCTTTACATTTTAGTCCGTACTCTTGTGATAGTTTTCTACCCTTATTTTGGCTACGCAAAGTGAGAATCAATAGGATACATGGAAAACGTATGGTTTTTGTCCATTTCGATTGTGGCTGACCACTTTGTATGCGAAATGCTGCCGATATGAGCAAGCTCACGACACATCCTACTACGCGCTTCTTTTCTTGGAAGACTGGAAGGATGGGAATTTAACGTCTCGTGGCATCGAACTCATATGCAAGCCGTCCAATGGAACTAGTGATACATGGTTTATATCATGGTTCAAATTGGCTTTAATCACTTCCTTGGTTGCTCTTGTTTGCTCGGAGATGAAACCTTACTCCGGACATTTGCTTTAGAGTACACAGACGAGTGGTAAGAGCAACTCTGATCGAGATTCAGGCAGCAGTTGTCTTATTTTTCATCGGTGTTCCTGCAACTCTTATGGGTATTGATTAGTGTTCTTTTGGTAGCATATACTCCGAAATATGTAAGAAAGTAGGCTTGTTTGAACTCTAGTATTGATGAACTTCAAGCCGAAAGACACATTTGTGTCAAACCTAGAATGATCGCAATAAAATCAGGTGTCGGAAGAGTGTTTGAGAGACGATCTTGCTCCACCCATAGCAAAATTGTACCATGTATACCGTTTAGAGTTACTTCCAGGTATGTAGTTCATCCCGTTAGAATTTACCCTATCGTGCCAAAAATTCAATTCGAAAAGATCAAACTGTGATTAAAAGCCCAACATATGACATGGTCTAAAATTTTTCAAAAATTAAAACCGTGTTTTATCAGAAAGTACAGATAGTATTGTGTTTGGGGGAAATATGACGGCACACATGTTGCGCGTGCGGAAACGGATTCGATAGCTTACTGGATCGGGTGGGGGGGATATAAGGTATTCCACGAAGCATTTTGGTAGCTTTGATTTCGAACACTTTCACAGGGAAATATCTTAGCCGCTTGATGCGATTCAACGCTTGAGAAGAATCGAAGCACGTTTATTGATTTGGACCTCTAGTCTAGTCTACTGTCACCGAAATTTTTTAATAAGTACTAACAGTCCATGAGAAATATAAGACTGTGAAGCGATTTCTCGTATTCGGCACCTGCGCGCGACAAAAGAATCCCCTTTCGCTTTGGTGAAACCACTAAACGAAGATTTTGGTTCCAGATGAGAACGACAATTCATGGATAGTGGGGGAGGAATCGTTCGAGTGTAGAGGAAAGGACAAAATTGAAAGTGACCTTAACAGAATAGTGACACATTGTGCTAGCCGTAAATGGTGAAGCGCTGTACTAGTTGGCTGGTAAAGAGTTTGGCATCCAGTCATCGAATATCATTCTCGAACAGATGACCCCAAGGGATCTTTAATGGATTTACTAAACACAAATGCATCTTGACTTGGACCGGTAAACCCTGTCGAGTTTTATGTTTATTTTATTAAATGTTGAGTTTTTCAGCACGAATCATCAATTTTGGTTTCAGTGTGTATGTATCGCGTGATTAAGTTGTGTAATCCCTGAAGAGCTTGTATGAGCATCGGTCCTTCGGGACATTCGCATATGACTTATTACGAGGCAGTACTCAGTTGATTGTGAAACTTCGACTCGCTTTCTTAGGTTCCACTGAAGTGGACTGCTATCTGAATTACCAGATCATTGAAACGTATATACATGTATATATGTATATATATTTGAGCATTATACAAACGAGTATTCGAATCATCACTATAATCATTTTGAATGAGGATAGTCTGTTCACTTATCCAATCTGTGCGTGTCTTAGATAATGCCACGTTCTCGAGGATAATGACATTAAATACGTAAGTATTGGAATCCCAGTGCACTTCCGGCGCCTCTGAGTAAACTGGTAGTGTATTGTAACGGAAGAAGTGTAGTAACATTTGACAAAACTTACTGATGACGACAAGGAAAAAAGGGTAATTGCCTAATGCTTCGCTCATTGTTTCTGGCTTGATAGAAGATTCAGTGTGATTGATTGTGGAGCCTTTTTCCTAGGACCTACATCGTTGTTGGACAACTGAGCGCTGGGCGTCATACGGTTCAATGCAAGCTGTCCCTGCTTATCGTCGGCGTCCGGTTCGTCAACCAGCCACCCCTAGTTTAACGTTAGATACATCACCCAGGATGTGTTTGTTATCCTTCAATGTCCACGTTACATCAGATTTTGTGACATCAGCCGAACATGCCATCTAGAACTTTCAGGTTTCTGTCTGCTAAGTCAAACGGACTTTACTCGCTTCAAATCATGATTATCTCTGTGCGAACTGCTTTTCGTCTTAATTATTTTAAGCAATACTTTCACCGGAAATATTTGAGGTGTAGATTCAAACAAACGAACCTACCACACTCAAACTAATCATTACTGAGTTCAAAACGGACCTCGGCGACTGCAGTATCTATCTGATGAACGAATTTTAGCTTAATACTGATTTGTGAAACTGCATCCAATATGAATGATTAGGAGACGGTTCAAACCTTTTTTTACCGAGTGGTCGTGGTGGCACCATGTCGACAAACCTTTCTCCCCATCATCCATCCGTAAACCTTGTATTTGTCTCTGAACTGACCAGCATCATATTTCTCCTCAGTTCAAGGGAGAATCATTTAAACTGGTTTTGTAGCTGTTCACAACACTGCAATCATTACCCCGAGGAAACAAGCATCGAAGCTCTAAACACCATACCTTATGAGTTTAGTCTAAGTCTCATAGACCGCCAAGTCAGCCAACTGAACTACGCTCACAATATTCATCATACTGTATCAGAAGTGCATCAGAATAAGGTTTCAGTAAGAAACTGCTTTATTTAACAGCTTTCGAGAGTTTTGATGCTCCCAGTTGAAATGGACTGATTAGAAAACTGAGAGTTTCGTACAGTGTTCCTTAACAGTGGGACCCTATTGTTTTCAACTTACTCGATTAGCCAAGTTCGGCCAGTGTCAGTTTCTGAATATAGAGGGGAATCAACATAACTCATTGTTTTTTGTGTCCGTAGCATCTATTCTGAACATTTTGAGAATTATGTGATAAAGTAAACACTGGTAGTCAGCTTGTTCAGAAATCTGAAGCTTACAAAATGGTCACGCTGTCATTGCTCCATATCACTGATACATGAAATTATATCATCTAAAAACCGTGGGACATTAAATTTGTTCTCCTGTAGAACACGTTTGTTGATGGAGATGTAGTTTGTCGATGATTTTTGGAACGATCTTCACACAAACCAACGCTTCTGTGGGAGTAATAAGTAAGAAGAAGTCCTTTTTAAATATGAATCTCCATGATTTTCTATTATCATATCTGGAGAAAAGTACTGTGGACGCATTACGATTCAAAATCAATCTTTTGTGGTGAGTTCTCAGGGGGCAGCTGCATACTTATACGTTTAGCACACGGGATTAAAAAACGTGGAGACATTTGTGGATATTGTCTCACTAGGTTCCGCTCCCTACTGCGCTAACTTGGAGTACAAACGGAGTACAACCAAAACGTATGCCTATCAGTGAACTTGGATTTGTTGCGTGAGGGGTGTTGCAGCAACTATTATCAGGTCGAGACAACTATGTAATCAAGCTGGGCGTCTGATTCGCTGAAATGATTACCGGTTCATATCTACCAATACCGATGGAAGGAGGAAAGTAATTCGCTGAGAAGTTTTTCACTAGCAAACACGAACTAGGAGGTTACAAGCTAGTGGACACGCGGGGGCGGAGTTACAACATCAGATTACAGACTACTTGCACACTTCATCAATAGTAGGCATACATCGTTATAACAGCAATGATCTGTTTTTGTAAGAGGTTGGCATCTTAACGCTACCAGTACATTTCCTTTGGTCTTTGAGTTACGCGCACCCAGCTCCACTACCCACGTGCAGAGTGATTCAAAAGTTTGGTAGGACAATAAACTTTTGATCAGAACTTGCGCACAGAACGTTGTATTCATTGCACGTTCAGTAAATAGGAATGCTTTTTTAACCATGTGACAATTCTTAAATGCCAGTTGGTCTTACGGATGGAGCGGATGAATTCGTAGCGTATATTCACACACATCACTCTCATGTCGTGATGCCACAAAACTAAGAATCCTCACGAAGTCGTATTGGGTAGGCTACTTTTCTTGCAAGGTTCATTCCAATTATGCTTAAAAGAAACTCACTGCTCTTTCTCTTCAACAAAAGGAAAGTCATATTTACGGAAAATACAATGTATTAACTGCGTAAAATACGGTTCCACATGATTCGTGCGGATAGCTACGTCGACTGGTCCATTAGAATGGCAAATGAAGCTGAGGACCCCATGCATCCAAAGACTGCAGTGCCAAAGGTTTTGTCTGTTTGCGTTCACCACTGAAGAAGACACACTCAGCCAGACTCGCGGCAGTCTACTTCATGAATAGCCAAAATTTTGAAGTCCGATTGAATCTCCTGGAGGTTCAATTCCTGGGTCATTGAAGTTCGAACAAGGGGTGATTGTCCAAACGAATGTTTGAAAACATTTGATCCTGGTCGGAGAAATCAGCCCTGCAGCTCATAAGCGGTTTGGTTGTGGCTCAATCAGAAAGCATAAAGCTTCTAACAAATGCTGTTGATGCTCACACAGTTATTTATCAGGTCAGCGTAAGAACTCCTGAAATATGCACTGATCCGTCATCATTCATATTCGTTTTTCGGTACTATACATCCAGAAACGTCTACCATGTCCTAGCCATCCGGGTCAAGTAACTGCCACCGGACGCGCGAACACCATCTTCTAGTTGTCTCCTTATCTTTGTCACGTGCTCTACTTTAT